GATACATACATGTACATGTACAGACTCACCTGTATCTGTTCAAATATTTTCTTTTTTGGATTCAACTGATCATCAGGTTCTGAAATAAAGTATATAATAATCCACCCACACAATTAATTACAAACCACACCCACTCAATTAATTACCTTCCTCTTCATATCCTTCAACGATGATACGTTCCCCAGGGACACACCCACTGGGCGGGGTCAATAACTCCACCTTATCACTAGAGGAAGAGAGAGATACAGTACTACAGTACAGTATCCATTATCTACAGTACATCAGTATAATAGTGGATAAGGAGGAAGGTACAGTACACTACATTAGTATATGACTATATGTAGTTTTGATCAGTTTGTGGATAAGGAGGAATGTACATGTACATGTTCTTACTTCAGTGAAGCTGCTAGTAACATTGCCTGTGATTCAATACCTGCAGTAATAATGAATACAAATAAAATGTGATTATTCATAATAGCTACATGTATACACTGATATACTATGTCCCAACTGAGTTTGGACCAAGAAAAACTGGAATAACTTTTTATAGGAATGTGGGATAAGAATGAAACTTTCACAGGTTCTTAGTCGCCCAATGCCGCTTCAGGATCTCAGGTCTTGGGTCTCTCAGCCCTTGGAAACCCTGAGAACCGGGTTCTCGCTATAAACCCAATGGCATACCAAAGCTAACCGCAATGACGTTTTATGATGTCATAGTTTACATAAGCACATGTGGTCGAGCGCTCAAACTGATAATTCTTTTAAAATGCTAATAGAGCAAGATCTTCTGATAATGATGGCCTTTATGAAGACTAGTTGACTCCAGTAGCTATTGTACTGCTTATCAGGAAGAACAAGACTGTTTTAAGAGTGAAACAACACAGCCAAAATATCGGCCATGTCTCTATGAATATCATTATAAGACGTCATTAGTGACTAGTGTTGTTCTAGTTCTTCTATACTAGAACTAAATAATTATTGTTCTGCTTAGTTCTAGTTCTAAAAACTAGAACTAGAACTAGAACTAATTTTTTTGTAGCTGAAATACTAGAACTAATACTAGAACTAAAATTATTTATTTGAAGAACTAGAACTAATACTAGAACTAAAATTATTTATTTGAAGAACTAGAACTCTATACTAGAATTAAAATTATTTATTTGAAGTACTAGAACTAATACTAGAACTAAAATTATTTATTTGAAGAACTAGAACTCTATACTAGAACTAAAATTATTAATCCTGAAATACTAGAACTAATACTGGAACTACAATTATTGAACCTCCTTAGAACTAGAACTAATACTAGAATTGAAAATATTGGTTACAAACTACTACAATAAACAGGTGAACATGTTTTAGGCAAAGCCTAGCTGTTA